CACTGATGCTGTGATTTGTGTTTTCCTGGTTGTAAGTAGTAGCATTTTTTTCATATATTTTCTGGCCATCTGTAGATCTTTGAGAAAGTTTCTGTTCATCTCTTCTTCCTATTCCCATTTTCTGATGGAATTGGTTGTTTTTTTGTTTTGTTTTGTTTTGTTTTTGCCTTTTGGGTCAACCCGGCATTGCACAGGGGTTACTCCTGGCTCTGCACTCAGGAATTAATCCTGGCGGTGCTCAGGGGACCATATGGGATGCTGGGAATCAAACCCGGGTTGGCCGCATGCAAAGCAAACGCCCCACCTGCTGTGCTATCGCTCCAGCCCTGGTTGGTTTTATTTTTTCATAAAGTTCTACCAGCACTTTATATATATTTGGGGGGGGGTCACACCTGGCAATGCTCAGGGGTTACTGCTAGCTCTGCGCTTGGGAATTACTCCTGATGGTGCTCAGGGGACCATTATGGGACGCCAGAGATCAAACCTGGGTCAGCTGCATGTAAGGTAAACACCCTACCCCTTGTACTATCGCTCCAGCCCCAGCACTTTATACAGCTTAAATATGAATGTTTATTAGCTGAGAGGTGGGCAAGCATCCTCTCCCAGTCTCTGGAGTGTCTTTTGATTCTGGTCCTTGTCTCCTTTGCCATGTGGAAGCTTCTTAGTCCCCTGTAGTCCCATCTGTTTATCTTTGCTTCGTTGGCTTGGCCAACAGGGTTGATTCATGGTGCCACCTCTTGCTTCCGTGTCAGAGCGTTCTCGGTGCTCATGGGTCTATCCCCCCACCCTCCTCTCCCGTCTGCGGCTGCTGTGATGAGCAGGGTCCACCCCCACGCATGCTGGCACTCCTCACACTTGTGAGGAGGCTTGTGGTGCTCCCTGTGGGGCTGGGGGAGGTCACGCTTGCACACAGACTCCATGGGAGGCCTCCACCCGGTGCTCGCCCAGCTCCTAGCTGCAGTGCTCACTCACACCAGTGCCTCCAGCAGTGGGGCTAGCAGACAGCAGGGCTGCTGGGCTCTCACTTGGCACCTTCAGGTGACCCCTGGGCTCCAACCCAAGGCCTCGTGCTTGTGAGGCAGGAGCCTTAGCCACGGGGTCATCTCCAGGCCCCCAAGGGTGAAAAGTTGGTCAGAGAAGACAACAAAGGGGTGATGTATTTGGGCCGGAGCTTGCCTCAAACATAGGAGCGCGGGAGGGGGGAGCCCTGGACCCTGGGCCCTCCCCAGGGCGTGTGGGAAGAGCCGTTTCCTTCCAGGGCACAGGGGAAGGTCTAGAAGCCAAGTGGTGGGGGAGACCTGGGCTGGCACCGTGGCCATGAACACACCCCAAGTGGGAATGCCAGCAGGGTGCCAGGCATGAGGAGGGTGAAGGTCAGAGGATTCAGGTGCTGAAAGGACATTAAGCACTGAGATGGTGGTCCCTGAACTGTGTTCAGATCGTTAATGACTGTGAGTAGGCCTGCGATGAACACAGGAGCATAAGTGCCTTTTCTAAATTGATTTTTCCCCCCTATGGGGTAGATGCCAGGTGGAGTGGCTGGTTCTGACGGGAGCTGAAGCCAGGGCTCTGTGGAGAGGCTGAGGGGACACGGTCTAGGAGGGCAGAGAGAGGCCGGACTGGTCCCCGAGGACCCACTCACTGCTCAAGAGGACTCAGCTCCCCTCAGGAGGCCCTGTGAGCATCAAGAAGGCCCCAGAGAGCCCTCTGGCTTGCTCTACTGAGATGGGCAGTGTGAGGCTGATGTAGGGAGGGGGGACAGACAGGTGACCCCCAAACAGGCCATTTTGGGTTTCAGGCCAAAGAGAACCGAAGGCAAGGGGAACCAGCAGACTCAGCGGCATCTTTGCTCTTCTCCCTCCCCGACTGCTGGGCAAGGTCAGGGAGAGAAACTGGGGAGATAACACCAAGGGCTGAGCACTCACTGCACGCAGGAGACTGGGGTCCATGCCCCGTATCTCACAGTCCCCTCAGCACTGACAGGAGCGAGCCCTGAACACAGAGCTGGGAGCAGTACCTGAGTGCCGCAGGGTGTGACCCAAAAACCAAGAGAAAAGTTTGATCAAGAGCTCGTATCTGTGGTCACTTTCCCATCTCTTCCTTCCCTTTGAGAGCCCAGTCCTGCAGCCTCTCCTCGGCAGCCCTGTGGGCCCTGCCCACCCCTGTCTGCCTGTCCCTGGGGCCCTGGGATCTGTGGGTCTCCTGTGCCGGGATCCCCGGCAGCTTTGCGATTGGTGTTTCTCTCTTTGATTTCTCAAGCCCGTATCACATTTGAACAAGAACTTAGAGAAGGAAGCAGGGGAGAAGGTTTTCTGCACCCACATGACCATGCTGCCCCCTGAAGCCCCACAGGACACCTGGGGGGAGAGCTGACAGGGCCTGCAAATCCCCTAAGACTGGCTCACACCTTGAGAACTGCGAGAGAGAGGCCTTGAGCTTTGTAGAAGAAACACAACACCTCCAAAGGGGTCAGGGCCAGGGTGCAGCCAGGGAGAGGACATGCTTCATGTGTGTGATGGCCTGAGTTACACACACACACACACACACACACACACACACACACATACACATGAACACGCACATACATACATGTACTCATGTACACACACATGCATGCACACGCACGCATGCACAGGCACACATACACATATGAGTCAAGAGGTGATTTAGGAGACCAAGGATATAAATCCAAGGGTGGCAAGGTGCTTTGGATGTGCAGGGCCCCCAATTCTCTGGGTGGATCCCAGAGGCCTCTCATAGCACCTGAACATCAGACCTGCCCCCAAGCACCAGGAGTGACCCCCAAGCGAGGCTCCCTCCCCCCTCTGGAAACCAGGCGACAGAGTGAGGGTCCATGCTGAAATGGAGACTGCTCAAGCCCGCGGCTCCCTAAGCAGAGTCACATCTTGTCCCAAGGACTTGGAGGAAGAAGTCTGGCATTTGCAACCCCCCAAAGCCCCAAATGCCGGCCAGGGGGTCCGAGCGGGTGGAAGCTGAGCTTCCCCCTGTGAGATGGGGCGAGGGGCTCTCCAGATCCATTCCTTCCAGCCCAAGGGGACGCCCACCATCCTGAACCCACAGTCCGATGTGGCAGGTAGTGTCCAGAGTCCTGGGGTGGATTCAATTCTGAGTAACTGCTAATGGTAGGGCTTCATGGGGGCTGGAGCCATAGCACAGCTGTAGGGTGTTTGCTTTGTGCGCAGCCAGCCCTGGTGAGCAGGGTTCGATTCCTCTGCCCCTCTCGGAGAGCCCGGCAAGCTACTGAGAGTATCTCACCCATATGCCAAACACAGTAACAAGTCTCAAAACGGAGACATTACTGGGCCCGCTCAAGCAAATCGATGAACAACAGGACAGTGTTTTTGTTTTGTTCATGGGGGCAGTCTCTGAAGGCGTCTGGAGGGCTTTGTTGTACACTCCAGATCTCTCTGTCTCTGTCTCTCTTTGTCTCTGTCTCTCTGTCTCTGTCTGTCTGTCTGTCTGTCAGTCTCTCTCTCTCTCTCTCTCCCCCGCCCCCACCTTCCCCAAGCACACAAGGGTCAGCTGACTAGAAAGAAATCCCGTTCTGGAGTGCTAGAGCAACAATACAGTGATCCGGGCACTTGCCTTGCATGTGGCCAACCCAGGTTCCATTCCCAGCATCCCATTTAGTCCCCTGAGCACTGCCAAGAGTGTGCAGAGCCAGGGGTAAGCCCCGAGCACCACCAAGTGTGATCCAAAAGCAAAGGCAGAGTTAGTTAGGATCATTCGAGAGCGATCCCTTCCTCCAGATCCCAAGGCCATGAGACAGTCACTTCTCCACACGCACCTCTTCACGCTCGAGACTCAGTATCTGCTTTTGCTGTTGGCAAGGCGGCGTTGGAGCACCCTGAGACAGGCCTCCCGAAATGAGGGTTCTAGAAGGCCCTGAACTCACTGGCCCTGCAGAGCGTCCGGAGCATGAAGGCATCAACTCCCCTGCACCACCTCCACTGCCGCACCAGCCCCCCACCCCCACCCCCAAAGCATCAGCAGGAATGTTCTCCACCAAAACATCTCTCCGTGAGGCTGACCCCAGGGTGCCTGGGATTTCTGTGGAATCCAGACTGACCAAGAAAGGCTGGAGGCTTGTTTCGGGCTCACAGCGGGAGGCTCATTCTGGTCTCTCCTGGGAAATGCATTCTGGCGCAGGGTTGCCGGAAGACCTACCAGAAGCCCCCGTGAGCCCAGCTGCCACGGGGGACAGTGGGAAACTCTACTGCCCCCTGAGGCACCGGTACCGAGAGGACCGGGTCTTTTTCAGAATGGCAGAAGACAGAAATCTAACAGCCACGTGTGGCCCTGCTGCAGGGAGCGGCTACCTTGCGTCACTGGAGAACAGGGAACTGTGACACTTTGGAGGACAGCCATTCTCCCCGTGCGCCACCAGGGGGCGTGCCGAGACCCGGCTGCACCATCAGTGTGTGGTTGAGAAGTGGAGGGGCAGGAAGCGGGAAGGGGCAGAAGCTGTTCTATGGGGGCTGCACTGGGCTGCACTGCCTCACCTTTGGCCGTGCCAGCCAGTTCTCTGAAATGCACAGCCGGCACTGAAGGAATTTGTAAGTGGCGTTTCCGATCCTCCCCCAAGAATCATTTTGATCTGCAAAGAGCAACTTGAATTGCCTGGCAGGAGCATCGAAGGGAATCCGGGTGACAAATGTGATGGCCAAGTGACAGGCTGTCCTTGCTGTCTCCCACACTCACCCACATGCCTCTAGAAACAATGTTTGTTTGTTTTTGTCTTTAAGAAGTTTTTGGGAATTTACTGTGTCATAATTTGGGGCACATGAATGCCCTATTTTTTTTTAATGAATCACGGTGAGATACAGTTACAGACTTACAAACTTTAGTGATTACATTTCAGTCATACAATGATCGTGAACCCATCCCTCCACCAGCGCCCATTCTCCATCACCAATGTTCCCAGTATCCCTCCTGCCACCCCCACCCCGAACCCTCCCCGCCACCTGCTTCTATGGCAGGAACATTCCCTTTTGCTCTGTCCCTCTCCTTTTGGGTTTTATGGTTGCTAAGTGGTCATCATGTTCAGTCCCTAGTCTACTAACACACATCTCCCATCCTGAGTGAGCCCTCCAAGCATCATTTACTTGGTGGTCTGAATGCCCTTGTTTTATCCTCCCCAATAACTGGATGCTGGTCCATGATGAACAGTATGAATGAGAAAACCATGTCCATGCACTTCAGGAGATGGCCCATGGCCACATCACAAGCCAGTGGCAGGTCCAGGCATGCAGACAAGGAGGGCAGGCAGGCTGAAGGAGAGACTGCACAAGACAGACGAGGTCAGAACTATCGTACAGTGGGTAGGGCACCTGCCTTGCACACGGCCCATCCAGGATTGATCCCCAGCATTCCAGATGGACCCCTGAGTACCCCCAGGATACATCCCTGAGCACGGAGTCAGGAGTAATGCCTAAGCACTGCCAGATCTGGCCCCAAAACACTGTCACTGTCCTCCCGTTGTTCATCGATTTGCTCAAGCGGGCCCAGTAATGTCTCCATCGTGAGACTTGTTACTGTGTTTGGCATATCGAACACATCACGGGTAGCTTGCCAGGCTCTGCCTTGCGGGCGAGATACTCTCGGTAGCTTGCCGGGCTCTCTGAGAGGGGCGGAGGAATCGAACTCGGGTCAGCCAAGTTGGCTGCGTGCAAGGCAAACGCCCTACTGCTGTGCTCTCGCTCCAGCCCCAAAACAAAAACCACAAAATAGATGACAGTCCACCTCCTCCTGCATCTGCCTGAATCTTATTTCTCCCCAGCCCCACAGTCTTGGGAACGGCCTGGCTCCTAAAACTGGCGGTGGTAGCAAGGGAGGAAATGTGATCTATGAGGAGCTCTTGGTACCTCATTGGCTGGAGCAAAGGGGTGGTGTCTCCAGAAATGGTAGAACCCCATGGAAATCCCATGTAACCCAGCGATTTGTCTAAAACCACTATGATTGGCACTTTCAACTCTGTCCAGCAAGAGCTTCCGGGTCACCTGACCAGATGGAATGAGCTCACAGGCTGACCTTTTATTCAGGACTGCATCACTCTGCCTCCCTGGCTCCCAACGCAAGGGCCATTGTGAAAATCGACAGAGACATTGTGAACAGTGCATGCATCAAAATTCAGCAGAGACATGGCGAGCCGAGGCTGGGCAACTTGGTGTGGTCAATCAGCACGCACCTTTAAGGGCTAAGTCACATCAATTTCCGGTTTCATTTTCCCTGTGCTGCCCTTATATTGAAAAGACCCTGAACTGCTTTATTCTATTCTTTCTGGGCACAAGCCTGCTGCCTGTTTATGCTCCTTATATTCCGAGGTCTCGGCTGCTTGGCCCAGGGACCTGTCCTGATCTCTCAGGCACCAAGGCCGCTCCTGAGTGTGTGTCTGAAGCCTGGAAAAGCCTCGATGAGAGGCACGTCTGCTCCTAGGAATATTATTCACAGAAAGAAAACATGGAGTCCACCTAAACGTCCATCAGATGATTTAGAAGATACAGACAATGGAAAAGTACTCAGCTCTTTATCTTTTTTTTTTTTTTAATGATTCTTTTTCAAATCTTGTCTTTGTGACCGCATGAGTGGAATTGGAGGGGATGGTGCTCAGAAAAGCAGGAGGAATCAAGAAGCCAGCTCCAGATGGATTCTCTCTGCACGGACCCTAAGCGACCCAGGGGAGAGCAGCTTATCCAAACGCCATCTCTCCGCCTCTGCCAGACACCTGAGTGCAGTGACAGAAGGGAAGAGTGGCGGCTTACTCTGGTCCCTGACAGCTCCAGAGCTCTGATGGTGGGTGGGGTGAAGCTGCGGCCAGCCAGAGATAACACGCTGCACCCCCAAAATTCAGGTAGTGCAGGAATCAGTAATAAATCAGTGAAAGTTTCACTCACAGAACGTAGTGAGAGACTCTCGCCTTGCAAGGCCAACGCGTGCAAGGCGAGTGTGTTTACCTGCTGTGCTCTCTCTGGCCGCGATTCTTATTCTTATTTTTTTTTTTTTTTTTGCTTTTTGGGTCACACCCGGAGATGCACAGGGGTTACTCCTGGCTCTTCACTCAGGAATTAATCCTGGCTGTGCTCAGGGGACCATATGGGATGCTGGGACCCAAACCCAGGTCGGCCGCGTGCAAAGCAAACGCCCTACCTGCTGTGCTATTGCTCCAGCTCACTGGCCACGTTTCTTCTTAACCCAAACACTTTTTTTTTAAATTTTTGTTAGTGAAACACCATGAGGTACAGTTGTAGTCTTACAAATTTTTGTGCTTGGGTTTCAATTATACAATGATCAAACACCCATCCCTCCACCAGTGCCCATTCTCCACCCCCATCAATCCCAGTATCCCTCCCACCCCCCATCTCCCCATCCCACCCTGCCTCTGTGGCAGGGCACTCCCTTCTGTTTTCTCTCTCTCCTTTTGGGTGCTGTGGTTTACAAAAGAGGAATTGAGTGGCAATCATGCCCGGTCTATAGTCTACTTTTAGCATGCATCTCCCATCCTGGACGGATCTTTCCAATACCCTTTATTTGGTGATCCCTTCTCTATCTGAGCTGCCTTTATCCCTAGAGTGTGTGGCTGCCCTCCAAGCCATGGAGTAAACCTCCTGGTACTTATCTTGACTCTTCTTGGGTGTTAGTCTCCTATTTTCTTACTTTATATTTCCCAGATGAATGCAATCTTTCTATGTCTATCCCTCTCTTTCTGACTCATTTCGCTTAACATGATACTTTCCATGTAGTACCACTTGTATGTAAATTTCATGACTTCACCTTTTCTAACAGCTACATAGTACTCCATTGTGTAGATGTACCAAAGTTTCTTTAACCAATCATCTGTTCTCGGGCACTCAGGTTTTTTCCAGATTCTGGCTATTGTAAAGAGTGCTGCAAAGAACAAACAAGCGCAGATGTCACTTCGACTATATTTTTTTGCTTCTCTGGGGTATATTCCCAGGAGTGGTATTGCTGGGTCAAATGGGAGCTCAATTTCTAACTTTTTGAAAACCCAAACACTTTGATGAATAAATCAAGTGTGTCTGGGTGAGTGGGTTTCCCCCTGGAAAATCTGCTGGCCTGTCTTATTACCCTCCGGGCAAGAGGGCAAGGCAGTACCCCCCACTCCTCAGGAGACCCTCACATGGTCACTCCAGACTTCCCCGCGCCCATTCCTGGCCCACCTGTCTCCAAGGCTGCTTTGACTCAGATCAGTGGTGTTCTCAGCACCTCCTAGAGTGCTCCCAGGAACCCTCTCTTCCCCGACCTGCCCCAGGCGCTTGGTGGGCAGGAACCAGCTTGTTTCTTTTTGTGGACTGAATAAGTACTGGGTGAGATTTGAAGCGCTGGTGCTTCTCTAAGTCATATTTGTTTCTTTATTCTTTTTTTTTTTGCTTTTTTTTGGGTCACACCTGGCGATGCACAGGGGTTACTCCTGGCTCTGCACTCAGGAATTACCCCCTGGCGGTGCTCAGGGAACCATATGGGATGCTGGGAATCGAACTCAGGTCGGCCGCATGCAAGGCAAACGCCCTACCCGCTGTGCTATCACTCCAGCCCCTTTATTCTTTTTTTTTAACCGGGGCCGCCTGCACTGGTGCTGGACTCTGGACCCACATCAGGGTTTGAATCCATCCCCAAGTGGCTCCACTGTTTCCACAGCACCCCTAGATCTATGAGCCCCACGGCCACAGGCAAGCCGAGGCGTCCGCAGGCTGTGGGACCTCTGAGCTGGGGTCAGTCCAGGCCCCGCAGGCCCACACGATGCTCCCATCACTCCCTTGGCCCTGGGAGAGTGGAAACGGGCAGGATAGCCAGAATTAGTATTGAATTTTCTGGGGTTGAGTCATGCCTGACAATGCTCAGGGCTGGCTCCTGGCTCTGTGCTCAAGAGTGGTGGGGGATTATGTGGTGCTGGCACTCAAACTGGGGTCAGCCACATGCAAGGTAAGGGTCTTACCCTGGTGCTATGTCTCCAAGCCCCAGAATTAGGATATCTTGCCAGAAACGGTCTTTGTATTGAAGAATCCAGGACCAAAGTCAAATGACAGCGCTCTTGGTCTTGGTGAGATGAGGCACACTCTCCCCATCCTGTGAGCCCCTGCCTCTCCCCTGAGACCCCAGTCCCTCACCCCTCACCCCTGCCCGTTCCTTAGAGCAGGATCAATCTCATTTATGTCATTTGGTCCCATTGGCTTTAGAATCTACATATACATGATTCTTGTAGGGTCTCTGTCTCTGCCTCTGTCCTGTCTGTCTGACTGTCTGACTCTCTCTCTCTCTCTCTCTCTCTCTCTCTCTCTCTATCTATCTATCTCTCTCTCTCTCTGTAAATTCACTTTTGTCTGGCCTGGGAGAGTGCTCAAAGGCCGGGGCACATCTCCTGGTCCCCACAGCACCATCAGGTGTGACCTCCAAACAAACAAACACAGTTTCTGCTACTAAACACAACACAGCCTGATGTTGAATCGCAGAGAAGACCCCTTGGGCAGTGGGGATTGCTCTGTGCCCTGACACGGTCCTACAGCTCAGCCAGCCAGCCATCTGCACACTGCACACATGGGGTCCTGGTCCCATGAACACCTGTCCGAGCCTGCCAGAACCTGCCAGAACTCGCCCCAGCAGGCACTCCAGCCTGGTCTCCCGCTATCCCCCTACAATGCCTGCCCCGGAGGCCGAGTCCTGACCTCACCCATCGCCGCCCCCTGCCCGCCCACACTGCCCACTGCTCTGCCCATGGGTCTCCCCGGCCCAGCCTTCGCCTCCCTGAACTCCCAGCACTGACCCCCTCTTCGCGTTCATGTCCAGGACACCAGCACAAACATGTCCTTAGGGGGTTTGGTTGTTGCTTGGGGCAGGCAGACCCCCATTCTCCTGCCCCCACCTGTGCAGAGTCAAGGAGAGAGGCAGGAGGGACAGTGGACAGAGAAAGCGACGCTCCCAGGCACCCTCTTCCCTGCCAGCCTGGGGCCTCGGGGGAGCAGAGATGTGCTTTGGCAGTTGGCTACAAGGCACTCCCTGGGGGGCTGCAGATGCAGGCTGGGGGAGGGGGGGCTGGAACATGATGCTGTGAGCAGGCACAACTCTTAGGGTTTTTTTTGTTTTGGGGTCACACTCGGTGATGCACAGGGGTTATTCCTGGCTCATGCACTCAGGAATGACTCCTGGCAGTGCTCAGTGGGCCATATGGGATGCTGGGAATTGAACCCGGGTCGGCCGCCTGCAAGGCGAACGCCCTACCCACTGTGTTATCGCTCCAGCCCCAGGCGCGACTCTTAGGATGGGCAGAGGTGACACTCAGAAGAGGACTGGGGGTCAGGCTGCTGAGGGGGCCCAGGGATATGCAGCAGCTGAGCCAGGGGCAGCAGAAGGAGGGCTGGGCCGAGGGGACCAGCAGGGAAGGGGGGCAGAGGAGACGGGGCATCCTGGAGGTCAGAGAAGAGAACGGGGGTGCAAGACCGCAGCAAGCGCCTCTGAGCCTGCCTTGAGTCCTCCCTTCCTCTCTGCTGCTCTGGAACCAGAATCTCACTCCCTGCCCCTGCAGAGGCCCAGTTCCCCCGGGGGAGGGGGTCCTTGCTCTGGGACCCCCAGGAGCTGTCCTGTCCCTTCCCACACTCCGCTTCATCCCGGACACTGTCCGAATGCCCCGGGAGGGAGATTCGTCACGTCAGTTGAGTGGAACGCCAGCGATGAGTCCCCCACACCCTACATCAGACCCCAGTCCCCCAATTCTCTAGCTACCTCTAATTTTAGCACTTCTCTTCCATCTCCGGGCTGGAGGGATAGCACAGCGGTAGGGCATTTGCCTTACGCGCAGCCAGCCCGACTGAGCCGGGTTCGATTCCTCCACCCCTCTCAGAGAGCCCAGCAAGCTACCGAGAGTATCTCGCCCACACGCACGGCAGAGTCTGGCAAGCTACCCGTGACGTATTCAATATTCAATATGACGCATCTACTTGAGGGGGGAAAAAATCCAGGGAGAGAAATAAAAAATCCACCTTTGGTTGTTTGTTTGTTTTCTTTTGGGGTCACACCCGGTGATGCACAGGGGTTCCTCCAGGCTCACGCACTCAGGAGTTACTCCTGGCGGTGCTCGGGGAACCATATGCGATGCCGGGGACTGAGCCTGGGTCAGCATGTGCAAGGCAAACGCCCTCCCTGCTGTCCCATCACTCTGGCCCCCCCTTTGTCTTTTGAGCTGGGGGGATCCAAGAGGGAAGCATCTGGAAGAACAGCGGTGGGAGGGTCCCCACTGAGCATGGGGTGGGTTTGGATCCCACGTTGACAGCCCTGCCGGAGACTCCCCGGCCCAAGGTGCTGCTTTCATTGGTGCTTTGCAAAGTGGAAGGACAGGGTGTCTACTCTCGGCAGGCCGGACTCAGAGAGGGGAGCGAGGAAGGCAGAAGAGGAAGAGGAGACCCGGGCCGTGGAGCTGGCCTCTCCCCGCCCTCGGTCTGGGAGGCCCCTTTCTGTCCTGAAAACCAAACGCTCCCGTGCACATCTCCTCCTCATGCCTTCCGACCCCAAGACCGTCTGCCGTGCCCCTAGGGGACCCCTGCCCGAGCCTCAATGGACACGGTTACCCTCACGGTGCCGCAGGCAGACGTCAAGTCCCAGGTTTGGCTGGCGTTGTAGGGCAGGCCAGAGTCAGCGCCCTGCCAGGCAGACAGCTGTAGACGTAGCCAGCGACAGCGTGGACCACAGGCCAGGACCACCGTGCCCTCGGGGTTGCTGTAGGTACAGCGGCTCTGGGGGGGCTTTCCCACGGCCCCCAGATCCCAGCTGTCCCCCGGCTCCCCGGCATCTGGCCCTGGGGCTCGGGAGACGGGACACACCAGCTGCTCCTCTGTCAGGGCGGGCACCAGCTGGCCCCTGAGGTAGGGGGGGGCCGGCACAGACGGTCCGGGCGTTGAGGAGCTGGTCGCTGAACTGCTGCAGCCAGCGGAAGAGGTAGCCCAGGTGGCAGTCACATCGCCACGGGTTCCCATGCAGCGCCAGGTTGAAGAGGTTGTAGTTGTCGTCAAAGAGGCCCTCGGGGAGCGTGGTCAGGAGGTTCTTGGACAGGACGAGCAGCTCCAGCTTGGACAGGTTCTGGAAGAGGCTGGGGTGCAAGGCCGTGAGGTTGTTGTTCCCCAAGTAGAGCTGGGTCAGCTCCACCAGGCCCCCGAAGACGCCGGCCGGGAGCTGGGTGATGGCATTGTGGGAGAGTGTCAGGGTGCCGAGGCTGGACAGCTTGGCGAAGGCTCCCGGGGGGATGCCCTGCAGCTGGTTGTGCGACAGGGACAGGCTCATGAGGCGTGAGGTGCGGACAAAGAGGCCCTCGGGCAGCGTCCGCAGCCCATTGTCCAGCAAGCTCAGGTGGGTGAGGTTGGCCAGAGGCCAGAAGATGGACGGAGGCAGCTGCCCCAGGGCGTTGTGGTGCAGCCAGAGCTTCTGCAGGCTCCTGAGTGGGGAGAAGAGCTCGGCCGGCAGCTCTGAGAGTGCGTTGCTGTCGAGGAAGAGCTCCTGCAGGTGGCCCAGCCCCCCAAAGGCGCCCGCGGGCAGGCTGCCCAGCAGGTTATGGCTCAGCCGCAGGGTCTGCAGGCGGCCCAGGGGCGCGAACAGCTCTTCGGGGAGTTGGACCAAGAGGTTCTGAGCCAGGTTGAGGGTCTTCAGCTGCGTCAGGGGCTGGAAGAGGCGGTCGGGCAGGCTCTGGAGCCGGTTGCCCTGCAGGGAGAGGGACTCCAGGGACTCCAGGGTGTGATGGAAGAAGTCTGCGGGCAGGGTCCGCAGCGCGTTGAAGGAGAGCGTGAGTTTGAGCAGCGAGCGCAGGTGGGAGAAGGGGGCGGCGCTGAGGTTGAAGAAGCTACTGCCCGTGATCTCCAGGTCAGCCAGCCTGGGCAGCCCCCTGAAGGCGTCCGGCTCCAGTCGGGAGAGCTGCGTGTTGAGGAAGACCACCTTGGTCAGCTGGGGGCTGCCGCTGAAGGCCCCGGTGGGTAGGGCGGTGAAGGAGGTCTCCACGAAGACCACTTCAGTGGTGTGCAGGGGGAAGGTGGGCGGGACGGCTGCCAGCGCCTCATTGGTGCAGAAGACCTGGTGGGAGAAGCAGTCGCAGCCCGTGGGGCAGGGCTGGGCGGGCCGGGCCAGGAGCAGGAGGCAGAGCCAGCCCGGCCAGGATCCGGGAAGCATCTCCTGCACGCCGGTAGGAAGAGAGAACAGAACGCGGCCGTCAGGGCACCGGAGCAGGAAGAGCTCAGAGGCCACCACTGAGCGGCCAGTCAGCTATTTAGATTCGTGTGTGTGTGTGTGTGTGTGTGTGTGTGTGTGTGTGTGTGTAGCTTGGTTTTCTTTCCTTTCTGCGCTATGATCCAGCGGTGCTTCCTGACTCTGTGCTTAGCTCACTCCTGGCAGGCCTCAGCTCAGGGGACCACATGCACTGCCAGGAATCAAACTGGGATCACGGCCATGCAAGATGAGCACCTGAATCCCTGAAATAACTCTCTACCCCTATAGGTTTTTGTTAGGGGCAATGGAGGAAAAGCAGGCCTTCAGTTGACTAAATATTAAATGTGTTCAAAAGAACAAGAACATCCAGTGCTGGCGAGGATGTGGGGAGAAAGGGGCTCTCATTCACTATTGGTAGAAATGCCAACAGGTCCAGACTTTCTTAGGAAATAATATGGACAGTTCTCAAAAAACTAGAAATTGAGTTTCCATATAACCCAGCAATACAGCTCCAGGGAATATACCCTAGGGGCCCAAAAACACAATGCAGAAAAGCAATTTGCATTCCTCTGTTCATTGCAGCATTGTTCATAATAGCCATAATTTGGAAATAACCCAGTGCCTGAAAACAGATGAGTGGATAAAGAACCTGTGGCACATCTACACAATGGAATACTATGCAGCCACCAGGAAACATCACTGTCACTGTCACTATCCTCCCATTGTTCATCGATTTGCTCGAGCAGGCCCAGTAACATTGCAAGACTTGTTACTGTGTTTGGCATATCGAATACGTCACGGGGAGCTTGCCAGGCTCTGCCATGCGGGCGAGATACTCTCGGTAGCTTGCCGGGCTCTCCGAGAGGGGCGGAGGAATCGAATTCAGGTCGGCCATGTTGGCCACTTGCAAGGCCCTACCCGCTGTGCTATCACTCCAGCCCACCAGGAAACATAAAGTCATGAAATTTGTTTATACATGAACGGATGTGGAAAGTACCACGAAGTAATGAGTGAAATGAGTCAGAGTGAGAGGGGCAGACAGAATGATCGCACTCATTTGTGGGATATAGAGAAACAGTATGAGAAGAATACTGAGGACATACTGATGGAAACAAGGGCCAGAAGGACCATCATAACAGGAAGCTTGTTACAAATTTGGGGGTGGGGAGTGCAGTTAGGTCAGAGAAGGGACCCTATGAGTTGGGAGTGATCATTCTGGATAAGAACTGAGTGTTGGAAGGAAGTTAAGGGACATACATTATAACCTTTTGGCAACAGTGTTGCAAACCCCAGTGCAGAGAGAGAGAGAGAGAGAGAGAGAGAGAGAGAGAGAGAGAGTCTGTCATACAGGCAGGCTTCTGGAGGAGGGGGTGCGAGAGGGAGCCTGGACATTGGTGGTGGGAAATGTGTACTGGGTGAAGGGACAGGGGTTGAAACATTGTATGACTGAAACTCAGTCATGAACAATTTTGTCACTGTGTATCTCACAGTGACTCAATTTAAAAAAATTAAGTACGTGTGTGAGTGTGTGTGTGCGCGAGTGTGCATAAGTGTGTGTATGTGTGTGAGGATGTGTGAGAATGTGTGTATGTGTGTGAGTCTGTGTGTATGTTAGTATATGTGTGTGAGAGTTTGTGTGTGAGTGTGTGTGAGAGTGTGTGTGTGTGAGTGTGTATGCGTGAGTGTGTGTGTGTTGGCAGGTATCAAACTAGGGCTTCACACATGCAAGGCAAGGGCTCTACAGCTCTGCCACATCCCCAGTTGGAAATAACTAATTGGGGGGCAAGAGGCCCACACCTGGTTGTGCTCAGATCTTACTCCTGGCTCTGTGCTCAGGGATCACTCCCGGCGGGCTCGGGGAACCATATGGGATGCCTGGAATTGAACCCGGGTCAGCTGCATGCAAGGTAAGCACCCTACCTGTGGTACCATCTCTCCAGCCCCAATACTAGCTCACTTTTAATGTACCCTGGCTCCCAAGCCAGTGCTCGAGCTTCTAGGAGAGATTTGGTTACTCTGCAGTCTTTTTGCCAGGAAGCAGTAGCTGACATGTAAAAATGTGACATGTCAGATTAGAAGAGCAGGTTCCTACATCATTTAGGAAGAGTGGGTTCACATTCCTGTGGCAAAGGCAGCTGGGGTTGAGTGGCCCTGGCCTCATTAGAGGGTGGATACCCTGGTCACTACAACATCCACCTATGTCACCATTTACAAGGCTTGCAGTGGCTCTAGGGCCAGCGTTCAGCTCCCAACTCCATCATGTCCTAACTATGTGACCTTGAGAGAGCTACTTCATCTGTCTGCACCTCCGTTTCCTTATCTGTAAAATGGGGATAATAACAGTGCCTGGACATTAGGTCATTGTGAGGACTACATGAGTAAATATAAGTAGAGGTTTTAGGTCGGGGTCTAATGTGGGGTGAGCAATCAGCAAGCCACGTTAATTACTAATGGAGGTTGTCAGCCGCCCTCATTACAGAAAAGGTTATTTGAAACACCAGAGAAGAACAAATGTCCTTAGATGGAATACAGTTGACTTTACCAAAGGAGGGTGGGGAGGGGAAGGAGAGGGCTGGGGGAAAAGGAAGAGCAACTAGAGGAGAGAGACAGAGGGGAAGGGAGGAAGGGAGGAATGGAGGAAGGGAAGAAAGGGGGAAGGAGGGAGGGAGGGAGGGAGGGAGGGAGGGAGGGAGAGGGAGAGAAGGAAGGAAATTTCTTATAAAACAGATGCTAGTTTCATCATGCTTGTTTTGTGTTTACCTGTTCTCAGGAACAACTCACAAGAAGATCCTGGAAATACAATAAAATAAGGAAACCTAAAATAAAATTAAATTAAAAGATCACAGAACTCCAGTCAACTGAAAAAAATTTTTAAATAAAATCAAGCTCAAATATTTGGGGGCCAGAGTGATAGTACAGAGAGTAGAATATTTGCTTTGTATACAACCAACCCGGGTTTGATCCCCAACACCCCAAATGGTCCCTAAAGCCCACCAGGACTAATTCTTTTTTTTTTTTTGCATTTCTCTTTTAAATTTATTGTTTTTGTTTTTGGGGTCACACCTGGCAATACTCAGGGATTACTCCTGGATCTGCACTCAAAGATTGCACTGGCAGTGCTCAGGGGACCATATGGGATGCTGGGGATTGAACCCGGGTTGGCTATGTGCGAGGCAAACGCTCCACCCACTGTACTAATGCTCTGGTTCCCACATGAACTAATTCTTGAGTGAAGAGCCAGGAATAACCACTGATCACCACTGGTATGGCCGCAAAACTAATAATAACAATAATAATAATAATATAAACAAAGTCAAATCAAAGAGATCCTGGCATGTCGGGTCTATAACACTTCCTGACTTCCTTGGGTTGGAAGTTCCTGAGTTGGGAATTTGTGAGCTGCCTCGCGCCTCCTTCTGCTTTCCCGAATATGGGATCAGTAATTACAAAGGTGTCCGTGTGCCCTGAGTTCTGAGTCGTTACCGCAAACGATCAAGCCCTTGGGCACCCTTGCGCTGTGCCAAGTTGGAGAGAAGTGTGGGTACCTTGAGATTCCCCTCTGCGGCTGCCATTGGAAGCTGGAGGGGTCCCATCCTGTGGAGCTGAGCCCTTCGTCCATGCAGCCAACACTAACTCCAAGAAGGTGGCATCTGGGTGAATCCAATTTGGTGGGCACCTGGTTGATGTCCACAGGGAACTAGGGGATGGTTTGGGCTCTTTAGCCATACTTTGGGTGTCAAACTGGGTGTGGTTACGGGGAACAGATCACAGACTCAGAGCAAATAACCAAGATGGCCTCGATGTCCAAGATGAGGGGTGGGTGAAATCTTGTATGGAAATGTTTTCTGTTTTCTTCAAAATGAGACTGTAGCTATGTGTACAGCCTCTTAAATGACTATTTTGAAATACATGAACAACATAGTACTGGAATGAACTGTAAAATGAAAGGAGCCCCAAAGGTGAGGTCTCCATCTTGGAGGTCTGTCGGTGGAGAGAAATCAAGATCCATCACACACTGAGTATATACACAGCGACTACTCTGAAAAAGCAAAACCCAAGGCAATGGGAACATTTTCCCTTTGCTTAACCATGAAGGCTGTATTTTAAAAGTAACAAACACACGCGTGCGGCCACGAGACCTCTTATACTCTACCATGCTTGCTTGTATTCTCTTATATTCGGGCTTAAATGGGTCTAGAATGAAATATAACAACCCTCACACACTTGCCTCTTATTGTGATGGGAAGGTGCGTGGTGGTGGGATTGGTGTTTGAATATTATCTGTAATAAACTATTGTAAACTACTTTTATGAAAATAAAATACAAACAAAACAACACTGTCCTCCCGTTGTTCATCGATTTGCTTGAGCGGGCCCAGTAACGTCTCCATTGTGAGACCTGTTACTGTGTTTGGCATATCGAATACGTCCCGGGGAGCTTGTCAGGCTTTGCCCTGCGGGCAAGAAACTCTCGGTAGCTGGCCGGGCTCTCCGAGAGGGGCGGAGGAATCGAACTGGGGTCGGCTGGGTTGGACGCATGCAAGGCAAGTGCCCTACCTGTTGTGCTATCGCTCCAGCCCATTTTTGTAGTAAGGTTTAAAAAGTGTGTTTTGTTGTTGTTGTTGTTGTTGCTGTTGTTGTTGTTGTTTTTGTTTTGGGCCACACCTGGAAGTGCTTAGGGATCACTCCCAGAGAACTCAGGTGACCATATGTGGGTTGGGGATTGAACCCAGGTTGGCCACATGCAAGTCTCTAACCACTGTGCTATTGCTCCAGCCCCAAGTTTAAACCATTTTTATTAATTTATTTTGCTTAGGGCTAATTCCTGGTCCTGTGCTCAGGGATCATTCCTGACAGTTTTGGGGGAAGCAGATGCAGTGTGGGGATAAAACCAGGATAAGAAAGTGCCAGAACCCTTGTCCTAATTCTTCAGCCCTTTTTAACAGTCTTAAAGAAAGACAGCTACGGTTCTGGACTAGGAACAGAATGTGAACCGGACATGGGCCTTCCTTTTTCCTCCCCACTTTAAATTTTGTTTTTCAGGGGCCATGTCCAGTGGGTGTATGGAAAAGGTTGCTCCAGTTCTATCTTCAGGAATCACTCCCGGCAGTGCTCACGGGACCACGGGGTGCTGGGATTGAACCCGGGCCTCCTTGCATACAAAGCGCCATTGAGCTTCCTCTGGACCCAAGACCTTTCATTAGGAGCCCCCAGTCCTTACTGCCACTGTTCCTTCCACTATAGGAGGCCCATGCCACCTTCCCCTGTCCCTACTCTACCCCATACCTCCCAGCTCAGTGCTGATCCCCCTTCCTCCAGGAAGCCTTCCTTGACTGCCCCTGCACAAGACCCACCAATCCCTCACATGCTCTGAATAACACAGAGGGTCCATCTGTTCTCTGCTGTGGTTGGTGGCACTTGTAGCCTGTGTGATCCTCAGGACCTCTACCGGGGGCTGGACACAGAGATGCTGGTGGGCCCGGGTGCCAGCAGGAAGGACCACATGTGCGGCTCTCATGGCCTGGGGCTGGGTCTCTCTCCTCACCTGGCTTCAGTGAGGTGGCACAATCCTGGGAGAGTCTGATCCTCTCCCTCCCGGGGCGGGGGAGGGGCAGGGGTCCTTCTCCCTAAACCTCAGTGTTCTCCACAGGATCAGAACCTCATCCCGTAGATTAAAGCATTGCCTAATACTATGACAACCTATGACACCTCAATAAAATGACAAATTCACCACCCTCCCCCCTCCTCCACTGTGGACAAGTTGGCTAAAACAGATGGCAACTGTTGCCCACCGAATATGGAGCCTGACTCTTAGTCAAGGTTCAGTAGAAAGTAGCTACATCCATGTTTGATTCCTGCAGTGACTAAATATATAAATTTTGTTGCTGGGCCACACCTGGCTGTGCTCAGGGTTTCTCCTGACTCTGCTCAGAAATCACTCCTGGTTCTGGGCTCAGGGACCACTCCTGGCTCTATGCTCAGGGATCACTCGTGCTCTGGGCTCAGGGATCACTCCTGGCTCTATGCTCAGGAATCACTTCTGCTCTAGCCTCAGGGATCACTCCTGGCTCTGGGCTCAGGGATCACTCCTGGCTCTGCTCAGGGATCACTCCTGCTCTTGGCTCAGGGATCACTCCTGGCTCTGCCCAGGGATCACTCCTGGCTCTGGGCTCAGGGATCACTCCTGGCTCTGCTCAGGGATCACTCCTGGCTCTGGGCTCAGGGATCATTCCTGGCTCTGGGCTTAGGGATCACTCCTACTCAGGGATCACTCCTGCTCTAGGCTCAGGAATCACTCCTGGCTCTGCTCAAGGATCACTCCTGGCTCTGGGCTCAGGGATCACTCCTGCTCTGGGCTCAGGGATCACTCCTGGCTCTGGGCTCAGGAATCACTCCTGGCTCTGCTCAGGGATCATTCCTGGCTCTGGGCTCAGGGATCACTCCTGCTCTAGGCTCAGGGATCATTCCTGCTCTAGGCTCAGGGATCACTCCTGGCTCTGGGCTCAGGGATCACTCCTGCTCTGGGCTCAGGGATAACTCCTGGCTCTGGGCTCAGGGATCACTCCTGGCTCTGGGCTTAGGGATCACTCCTGACTCTGCTCAGGGATCACTCCTGCTCTGGGCTCAGTGATCACTCCTGACTCTGCTCAGGGATCACTCCTGCTCTAGGCTCAGGGATCACTCCTGGCTCTGATCAGGGATCACTCCTGACTCCGATCAGGGATCACTTCTGCTCTGGGCTCAGGGATCACTCTTGGCTCTGCTCAGGGATCATTTCCGGGTCTGTGCTCAGGGTACTATATGAGGTTCCAGGGACTGATCCTGACTCAGTCATGTGCAAGACGGGAGCCTCATCCCCAGTTTTATGTTTTCACCCCTAAACAAACATTTTACCAACAAAACCGGGATACCCCATGGACAAATGGGAGCCATTTGGATTGATGTTGGGTTAGGAGGCGTAAACTAGGGCAGGGTCTGGATATGCGGTGAGTCCCCCTGTCCCTGACATCACTGTGGAACTCTGAGAGCAGGACCAGCCTCCCTTCCTCCCACACCCCACCATGAGCCTCTTGGGCCTGCACCCCGGCACCTCTCCTCTGGGGCACCACTTGAAGTCAAGGGGCACCAGACAGGCTCCGAGGCCAGACTTCTCTGCACCCGCCACGCGGGGCCCTAAGGGGTCCAGGACACCTACCTTACGGGTGAGTGGACAGTCCTGGCTCTCCCCGCAGATAGAAGGGCCTGTGTGCTGGGCACAGCCGTGAATTCAACCCCAGCAGCGATCAAAGTTCCAGGGGTGGTTCCGGAGCTTTCCCGGAATGTCACACAGGTCACAGGATGAGAAGACAGACAGAGAGAAATGGAGCCAAGACCTCGAATGATTATGAAACACCTCTGCCCGGAATCCAGGAGGGGGCCTGCCCCTGGGACCTTGCGACTTTAAGGACTTCTGCCGAGCTCTGAAGCTCAGGAGGTAGTTGGGGGGGGGGGGGGGGGAAGGGGGCAGGGGTGCAGACGGGGGCGGGGGGGGGGCTACACTCACACCCCCTCCAGGCTGAGCTCAGAAGCACAGCAAGCCCTGGGCAATGGCTTCACCCTCTGTACAATGGGAGAAATTCTAGAAGGGTCAAGGGGTAAAGTTTTCTTGTGTTCGCGTGTTAAATGAAGCCATTTTTCTAAGTCTTTTCCAAGACATTAAGAGGTGCATTTTGAGCCAAAATGGAGATTATCACTTTCCTTGGTGCTACTCAAGTGCAAAATAAGTTGCTTTGGAGGGGAAGGGAATGATTTCTTGACTCTGGAGGGGCTGCAAAACAAAGCGGAGAGAGTGTGTGTTGATCTTTGTATGTGTGTGCACTTGTGTGTGCGTGGGTGAGTGTGTGTGAGAGAGAGAGACAGACAGACAGACAGAGACAGACAGAACATATGTTTGAAGGGTGAAGATAAGCAAGTTAAAATCACATTTAATTCCTGCATCACATTAGGGGCTGGAGCAATAGCACAGTGGTAGGGTGTTTGCCTTGCACGCAGCCAACATGGCCGACCCGAGTTGGATTCCTCCGCCCCTCTCGGAGAGCCCGGCAAGCTACCGAGAGTATCTCGCCCGCACGGCAGAGCCTGGCAAGCTCCCCGTGACGTATTCGATATGCCAGACACAGTAACAACAAAGTCTCCAATGGAGACGTTACTGGGCCCGCTTGAGCAAATCGATGAACAACGGGAGGGCCTTTACCTTTACCTTTACCTAATTCCTGCAATAGTTTTATGGCTTTTACACTCATTGCATGTTATTAAATTTTGCTTGAGGGTTCTTGGGGCCACTGGCCATGCCATAGGGGCGCCACAGTGTCCCAGGAAGTTTGGGCTTTGAGCTCCAGGACTTTGAACTATCTTCCCAGTTCGAAGTGTCTTTGCTTGTTTGAGGTGCCAAGGATTCAATACAAGTAAGGCTCAAGTGCTCTGTCTCCTGACCTAACTCCCCTGCCCCATGAAGCAGGCTTTTCAGTGGAGACATTACAAGTCCACACTAGGCAAGTCGAGCATGTAAGAAAACATGAAGGAATCCATGTAAGAAAGCAGTGTCTCCCCCTGCAGCCCCAGCTGGAGGATGGTGAGGGCAGGGGACAGGTCCAGGGCACCCTCTGCACAGGCTACACTCCTGCAGAGACAGAGAGCTCGTCTGTCTGTCCCAACAACACAGTAAACAAGAAAAGGTCCAGGGTCCTTCCATTCACGTCTGGATTTTGGCTTTCTACCCAATCAGCCCTCACACAAATGACTCAGTGTCTACAGGTTTCTGCATGTGAAATTGTGGAGCCAGTATGGGAGAGGCTAGGAGGGATATGTGTGCATGCATGCGTGCGTGCGTGCATGAGCGCGTGCGTGCGCATGTGTGTGTGTGTGTGTGTGTGTGTTTGTGTTTGCATTCATACGCGAGCACATGCATCTAACCCCAGCCGGAAGGACGGTGGGCACATATATGTGCGTGTGGAGGGGAGACAGGTGGTCAGGAAGGCTTGCAGGTATCTTCCAGGAGTTGAGAGGAAGACCACCCTCCTTGTTCCATTACCTAAAATGCTAGAAACCTGTCTGAGTGGACAGGGCCAGGGTTAGGGGCAGACAAGGCCCCCCTGACCCTGGTCCCTGAAGAGGGTTGGCTGTAAAACCCAGGCAGCATATCACTGACCCTTGCCCCGGAAGAGATCCAGAGCTCATAGAGCCCAAGCAATTATGGTTGGAAACTCCTTTCCTGGGGAGAACAGTGGGACAGAGGGATAGCAGAGCATGTCCCCCTCTCTGACGTTCAGGGCCTGAGCCCCGGGGAGCCTGGGGACTGAAAGTCAGGTGAACACCAGGACTTTTGGGGGACGTTGCTGCCACTCAGATGCCATCTTCTGAGAGCCACCAAGCTGAGGGCTGAGCACAATGGGAGTCCAGAGGTGTGCAGGAGCGCTCCCAGCCGCTACACCCCCCACGAGCACAGGCGCCTTTAATCAGTGCTGAGTGAGCCTCATTCATACCCGGCAGGACATAGGCATGTGAAGGCCAGGGCTGTGCTACTGAAACCCAGGCGCTAGAGGGCATCGGGACACACATTTCCTCACTTTCTTCCGGTCTAAGAGGGTGTGGGAGAAGGTAGCGGGGAGATGGGATCCTTGTGACAGGGGGCTGATGGGTGTGGCGTAGGAATTATGTGGTGAGAAACCATGATCAATATAATATCAAAATCCATCACTTGATCACTTGACTTCCCATTAATCGTCGATTTGCTGGAGCGGGTGCCAGTAACGTCTCCATTTGTCTCTGTCGTGTGCTAGTGTAGCCCAATGGCGTCTGTTCGTTCTAGGAATTGAGACTCTATGGATTTGGATGAGACCCAGTAATTACAATGAGTCTCATCAAAATTCACAGAGTCTCAATTAAAACAAAATTTTTAAGCTAAAATGAGGTGGGCCGATTCTAAGGGCTGCTTCCGGGCATAGATAGCTCTAGAGATCGTCTATTACCTCCTTTCAATCCTCAGAGAACTCCTCCCAGGCCAGCGTCGGTTCTCCGCTCAGCCTTGCACGTGTGTGACAAGAAGGAGCCCCCAAGGGTGAGGGCCTCTGGCCTAGACGTCCACAGCCAGCACAGGTCCTGTTATACCATTTATTGTTGATTCGGTACCAAATTGTTTGCAAGCAGCATCCAGCAAAGACCCCCTCACCCTGCCCATCAGGGCTCACACTCTAGACAACCCCAAGTTCTAGAAATCTCTAAGCACATCCGCAAAGCACCTGGGACTATTTGCAAAGCTTTTCTGAGGGAAGCACACCTGATCTACTTGGAAAGGAGCTATGAAGGCAAGCGGGGGGGGGGGGGGGCGGGGGGCGACATGACATCTCCTTGGATGGCGGAGAGACCGCGAATTGCAGGGAGGAATCCCCATGGGCCATGGCGACTGTCCTGGAGGGATGTAAAGGCTCAGAGACACCCCGTGACAGTCCTCTAGTGACTGCCAGCTCTCTGCTCTCCATCCACTTCCTGGACTTGGAACCCGATCGGGGAGAAAGCTCCCTGCTGGCGTCTGAAAGGTTGTGAGTTAGACACTGTGGAGCAGGCAGCGTTCTGAGAAACAGCGTGTGTCTCTGTCATAAGGAGGCGGAACAAGGCTCGCACGACCATGTCCCCAGACGGGAGGGCTGGGTTTTCTTTAGTCCATGGGTGGGTTTCGCTTCTCCTGCCTTGGCAAAGCTTTTGAGCCACATGCTCACAAGAGAAGATCCTCTGGAGAAGACAGTGGGGCGCAGCTTGAGAGAGAGGCTCTCCTCACCCCCACACACACCTCGCCACCATGTTCTGTGGTTTAGTGAGAACCCAACCTGTGAGGTTGTGGTAAAGGTTGGAAAGGAAAGCCTTTCCTTTCCAAAGGCTGCCGCAGAATGATGCAGAAAAGAAGGTGTGGTTCCAGAGCCTTCCAGAAGGGGACCCGGCTGTCTTCTATGTGGGGGGCTGGAAGGGCTTAGGAGGGAATTCCGGTGGGAGCTGGGTGAAGGAAGTGTGTTTGAAAAGTGACAGTGGCTCGCTTGCCTTTAGCTCTCTTTCCCCCACACGAACGTTCTATTGCCAGCAGAGGCTACTGCTCTGGAGAAAGCTTTCTGGAAGGCAGTGAGTTGAGGGGGCGAGGGACCGAGGTGGCTCTGGGCTCCACCTCAAGTGCTGAGGAGCCAAGTGGTCTCTGCAGGCCTGAGGATTCGGCCCCTGCAGCCTCCTGTCGGAAAGGCGACGCCACCGGCTTCTCCAGCAGGCTCCGTGGTTCAGGGAGGCAGGGAGCTCTGCTGAGGAGGGTGGGGCAGCGTCCCGGAGGGGCTCCATCCAATCCAGTCTGATAGATGGAAGCCATGGGCTGCTCCAAAGCCAGGCGAAGGGGTCTGTGTCGGCCACCTCCCCTGGGGTGCTTCTGGGTGAGGTCACCTGAGGACTGTGGTCAACTCACTTCCTACGGAGTGAGTTCAACTGTCTTCCTACGGAGACACATTTAGATATTGTGGACCTGAGAGGAAGCTACTGTGATGTCGTGGCTAGAGTTGAAAGGACCTGTCGTGGGTTCAGGCTGACAAATTTTTCTCTTTGGAGAGAAGGTAATTCAGAATGAAACAACTCAACTTAAAAAAAAATACCACACGAACATGATTGCCCCTCAGTGCTTTTGCAAACCTCAGCCACCAAAAGGAGAGAGAGAACAAAAGGGAATGCCCTGCCACAGAGGCGGGATGGGATGTGGGGGGTAGGGGGTGGGAGGGATACTGGGATCATTGGGGGTGGAGAATGGGCACTGGCACCCGATCATTGTATAACTGAAACCCAAGCACAAAAACTTGTAATGTCCACAACTGTACCTCATGGTGTTTCACTAATAAAAATAAAAATTAAAATAAAATTAAAAAAAGACCACAGGTCGGAGATTCTCCAGAATGAGCTCAGGTCTATGACCTATGAACTGTCTGTAAATGCTGATGTTACCTGCTAATTTGAGAAGTCTGAAGTTAAGCTGTGATCTGACTTAACTTTGTTCATTTTTTTTAAAATTTGGGGGCCACAGCAGTGGCACTCAGGAGCTATTCCTGGCTCAGAACTTAGGGATAATTCTCAACAGTGTTCATGGAATCATGTTGGGCCAGGAATTGAAGGCAGGTTCCAGGATGCAAAGCAAGCACTCCAGCCCTCTGACCTCTCTCCCCTGAATGCAGACTGTATTGTTGATGGAGAGTTACACCATGGCACTAGGGGGATTGCTGGGTTCTTTTACAGGAGGCTGCTCAGCAAAAGGATCTCATCTCTGAGCTATTTCACTTTCCCCAAACAGAGTGAAAATTAAAAGCAGATATAGACATATCATGCCCATAAAAGGCTTGCGCCGAGGGGACTCCAGAAAGTAGCAGACAGACTGTGTTGGCAGGAAAGTGTATGTGGTTGCATGGGTCTCTCCAGTTGAAATGTTTCTGTTTCTGGTTTGGGTTTTTTCTTTTTTGGTTTTAGGGTCCACACCCAGCAGTTCTGGGAGAAGGGGGAGGCATGCAGAGCTGGAAATCAAATCCTGGACCGTGGACATGCAAGGGATGTGCTCGACCTCTTGAGCCACATCCCTGACTCCTCAAGATGCTCTGACCTACCAGCCTGCATGCAATCAAATCTCCTTTCCAGCCAGAGTGCACCCACCTCTCCTCCTCCTCCACTGCCCAGCAGCTGGGCCCTTGTGAGGGCTGGCTGGAGGTGCAGAAGGCAGTCAGGCATCCTTCCTGACGCAAGGTCCTCAAGAAAGTCCATCTCATTGCCAGGAGGCATCTGTGCTCTGCAGCACAGCTGGGACAGAGGAAGATGGGGGTACTCTCAGGGTTCACCGACGTGACGATCTATCTCACTGTTCACCATCATGTTCCCACTTTCTCATAGGGATGTTCCACTCTGATAAAATGGGATACCTCCCACACCCAAGCGATGAACACAGGGACCCCAAGGAACCAGGCGGCTTTCTTCACCCGGTGCCAACAAGCTTATATTAATGCTTTTGAGGAGGGGGAGGGGTCCTGGGGGTTGTCAGGACATTTATATGGTTTTATTTCTAACAGGACTGCACTCTCCAAAGCCATCATCAGCCGTTGGAAACACTCTATATAAGGCTGAACTTGTGTGTGTTGGGGGGGGTGCCTCTCTTCCTCTTCCAGTTTTAAAAAAAATTCATAAATTACACCAGGAACCACCTCAAGGCTACCCCACCTTCCCCCCGCCCGCCCCCCGTCTGGGTGCCCCCAAAGCTGGGCTTCTTTCAGCTCCAGGACTAGCAGCCTCCACTGCAGAGCTCACTCGCCCGCGAGCAGGAGTGGCGAAGCAAGGGGAGACCTTGCCCAAGGAGAAGAGCGGGAAGAAGGGAAATCAACCAACAGGGAGAATACTTGATCGGAGAACTATTCCCCCTCCGGGCGAATAGAATCACAGAGTCCAGGAGGCCCGAGGGGGTGTCGGGAGGGGCTTCGGGGAGAAGCACTGGCAGGGGGTGCTGGAGGAGGGGCCATCTGGGGAGGAAGCCCAGTGGTGAGTGAGACCCCGTAGCGGGGGTTTGCCCTGGCCCAGAGGGTCTCCCCGGTGGTAAGAAAGTCCCACAAGACGAACCTCTCTTTCAGAGATGAGCAGGCTGGGTGAGGAAAAGTGGGGTGCCTTCTCCCCGGGTCTGGAGAGAGTGGGCTGAGGGTGGCCCTGAGAGCCCTCGGATGACACCCCCAGTTCCTCCAGCATGGGCCCTGCTCCCCGGCCTCCCTCTAACACTCATTGGGCGCCTTCATCTGCATCATGACCGCTTGGCTCCTCTGCTTGCAGCAGCAGCAGCAGATGCAGGCAGCCAGCGAGCAGGCCAGGGCGATGAGGCCGATGACGATGGCCGCGATGGCCAGCCCGCTCTGGGCCTGGGTCATGCCCCCGGTGTCCCGCGCATCAGTGACCTGGATGGTGGTCAGGTCGGTATAGTCCTCCGTCGTGCTGGTATAGTCGGTGGTGGAGGAGATGGAGGTGGTGTCGGTGTAGCTAGAGGTGTCCGGGTAACTCGGCGTTTCCGGGTAGACGGAGCCCTGGGGGCCCTGGGCGCTGGGGGTGTTCACGTTGATGATGATGATGGACTGCCCACGGACGTCGGCCGGGCTGAAGCAGACGGGCAGGGTGTCGGTGCCCAGCCTGCGCTGGTTAAGCAGCAGCCAGGAGCGGAGCGGGACGATGTCGGAGTCGCAGCGCCAGGGGTTGTCGTAGAGCCGCAGCTCACACAGGTTGCCCAGGTGGTCGAAGATGCCCACCGGCAGGTTCTCCAGCTGGTTGTTCTGGAGCTGGATGGTCATGAGGCCATTGACATTGGCAAAGAGGCCCCCCGGGAGCTGCCGGAGGCGGTTGTTCTGCAGCGAGATGTTCTGGAGGTTGGCCAGCATGCGGAAGACGCCGGGGTCCAGGTCCTGCAGGGCGTTGGTGTGCAGGGACAGCTCCCGCAGCTCGCCCAGCCCATTGAAGGCGCCCGGCGAGATGTGGTTGAGCTGGTTGCGGCTGAGGATCAGCACCTGCAGCTGCGGCAGGTTGCGGAAGACGTTGTCGGGCAGCGAGGTGAGGTGGTTGTCGTAGAGCCAGAGCTCCCGCAGGTTGTGCATGGGCCCGAAGATGCCCGGAGACAGCTCCTTCAGGGAGTTCCCGAAGAGCGTCAGGCGGTTGAGCTGGGGCAGCTGCATGAAGATGCCGCCGGGCAGCTGCGAGATCTGGTTGTTGGACAGGTAGAGCCGCTGCAGGTTCCGGTTGTTGTGGAAGAGGCCCGGGGAGAGAGCGCCGATCTGGTTCTGCTGCAAGGCCAGCTCCTCCAGGTTGGTCAGCCCATCGAACGTGCCCATGGGGATGTCGGAGAGCCGGTTCTCATACAGCCGCAGCACCTGGAGGTTCCCCAGGCGCTGGAAGATGCGGGGAGACAAGTGGGTCAGGCTGTTCTTGCCCAGGTTGAGCTTGGTGAGGCCCACCAGGTGGTCGAAGACACCGTCGGGCACGTACTCCAGGTGGTTCCCGTGCAGCTGCAGCTCCTTGAGGTTGCCACACTGGGCAAAGTGCGCCGGCTGGATCTGCACCAGCTGGTTGCTGGACAGCAGCAGGGACTCCAGGTTGTCCAGGCCCTGGAAGAGGCCAACGGGCAGCACCTGCAGCTTGTTGTTGGCGAGGCTGAGGTAGCGCAGGGAGCCCAGGCTGCGGAAGGCGCCCGGCATGATGTTCGACAGCTCGTTCTTCTCGATCCTCAGGGCGATGAGGTCAGAGATGTTGAGGAAAGGGGAGTCGCTGAGCTCCTTGATGTGCGTGTTGAGGATCTGCAGGCTCATGGCGTTCCAGGGCAGAGGGGAGGGCACCGCCACAATGCGAGCCCCCGTGCACTCCACCTGGGAGGAGCGGGAGCACGTGCACTCGCTCGGGCAGCCGTAGTAGGCCAGCCCGATGCCCCAGGCATGGGTGCCCACCAGCAGGAGGAGATAATGTTTCAGCGGCATGGCCTCTGCAGAGGGAAGAGAGCACACACACGTGAGTCTCAGGGGCTGCACCCGAGCCGCTGCCACGCTGCCACCCCCACCGACTGCTGGAGGCTGCCACGGCTGCTGTAGGAGAGGGGTACACCTGCTCCCGTGCCTTCCTCCTTCCATACCTCTGCCCAAGCAACTGCCTCTCGCAAGAGCGCTTTTCTGCACCCACACCTAACTCATTCTCATTCTCCCAAGTGTCGCTCAAATGCAGCCCCCTCCAGGAAACTGCCCCCGACGACAGAATCTGCATCAGCCACTCCCGCCGTCGAGGGGGTCTCCCAACCCACACCACCACCCCCCCTCCCAGGTCCTAGCTGCTCATCCAGCTCCTCAATGGGTAGTGAGTGAAGGGTAGGGATGTCCAGCCACCAACACCGCAGGAGCTTGAGGGAGGAGCAGAATCTCCTCCATCCCCAGAGCCTTCACAGCACCTGGACTCACATCAGACCATGAGCTCCCAGGCAGGACCAGAGAGAAAATGAGAACAACCCCGAGGGCCTGTACCTGCGGGAGGCCTGTACCTGTGGAGGCTGGAGGGAGAAGCAGAGTGACAAACTGGCTGCAGATCTGAAGAAGGGGGTGTGGGGGAGCTTCCTTCCCTCCCTGGACCCTGTCCCCAACAAGCTGTCCCTATCCCTGTCCTCGACTACATTCTGTGGGTTTCACTCAAGATACAGGAAGTTGTGGCAGCTCAGCCTTCTGAGTGCTAGACTCAGTTCACACACACACACACACACACACACACACACACACACACACACACAAAGCCTTGAGTCAGGCTCAGAATACTTTGGCTCCGTGTTGAGCCGAAAGGTGGGAAATCCAGGACTAGAGAGAGAGAATCACAGGTTAGGTGCTTGCCTTGCCCCTTACCTTGGTCCCATCCCCAGCACCGCATTTGGGGCCCTGAGCACCACCAGGAGTGACTCCTGAGCACAGCTGGGTGTGGTCCCCCAACCCAAACAAACACAAAAGGTGATGGGTGCTGGCCTGGTTAGGGGGTCAAATTATGAGAAACTTGGAGAATAAGAGATGGTGGGAGCAGTTCCATGGAAGACAGGAAGGTGGGCGGATGGACAGTCTGTAGATTCTGTCACACAGGTACACTGTTTTTGCTTAGAGAATGTGAAGAGTCGGGTTTGTTCTCTACAGGACTGTTTGGGAACCACTGAATCGCCGTTTGTCCTTGAATGGAGCTTGCGGCCACCGCGTTCAGCTTCCTTTCTCTCATGTGGCTTTGCCAACCACTGCTCCCTTTGAGGCTGTTGTGAGTTGCCCACAGAGGAGAGGGGAGGGCCCCAGGTGCCCTAAGCCTCCCTACCACCTGGACCTTAGCAATGCTTAAAGGCACGGGGGTCTCCAAGAGCTCCGATCTTGACTTTCTTAGTCCAGAAGCCTCCATCACTTCCTTCCAAGGCTCACAAAGGGGTCTCAGGCCCCTTCAGGAATGAGAACTGCTGGACATCCAAGACCATCAAGGGGTCTGACATCCAGGTTCATGCCAGGGGGCTGAGCACAGGGCAATGGAGATGCAGAGAGCAAGATCCCCACTGCCAGCTTCCAGCTGAATACCTGCCCTGTTCCTGTAGACACTCTCCTTTGAACGAGCGAAACTCCGGAGTTACAGGAAGAAGGAGCAAAGATGCAAGCACGAAGGGCGTGTGGGTGGAGAAGGTCCCTCTCTGAGTGCCCTTGCCGCCTCGACCCCCCAACTGCTGAGTCAGTCCCAGAGCTGAGAATCATGCCTTCTGTACGGTCTGTCGGGGTGAGCTCTGAGTCCCAATCTGTCTTCAGCTCAGTGCACCCCAACCCTCCCGCCTCCCCAAGAGCTCACTCTGAGGAGGGAGTCCTGGCTCTTCCCTCGAGCCACCCACCCCTAGTTGTTCTCTTCGTCACAGCCCCTCCAATACCTGAGTGACTGTACTTTTTCACTCAGGACTCGACTAAGCATGTGGACAGTGGAGAAAAGAAAGGGGAGAGACCAGCTTAGTCGAGGCATCCAGATGCACAGGAATGGAGCTATGGAGTTAATGTCCATGTTAAACTATGGAGACATCTAAAATGATGAAGTTTTGGGGCCAGAGTGATAGTACATCAGGTAGGGCGTTTGCCTTGCACATGGCTGACCCAGGTTCGATTCCCAGCATCCCATATGGTCCCCCTGAGCACTGCCAGGAATAGTTCCTGAGTGCAAAAATCAGGAGTAACCCCTGTGCACTGCGGGGTGTGACCCTAAAAGGAAAAAAATTTTAATTTAAAAATAAATAAAAATAAAATGACGAAGTTTAGAGGCCAGAGCGATAGTACAGTGGGTAGGGCATTTGCCTTGCACATGGCTCACTTGGGTTCAATCCTTGGCATCCCATATGGTCCCCTAGCACTGCCACTCCTGAGTGCACAGCCAGGAATTACTCCGAAATATTGCTGGGCATGACCCAAACTCCAAAATAATAAAATAATAAATGACAAAGTTTTATCAACAAATGTCAAGCACAGACCCTGAGATCAGGAAAACTAAACGTCTGGACAGAAGGACTTTGGGGAAAAGCAACTCAGCTTTCTTTCATCCCAGGGGAAAGACTTGAGATTTTTCATGGATAATATCAAAGAAAGAAGACCATTTACAAAAGTTGAATTTTAGACTCCATTAACAGAGGTATCACATGGGGAACAAAGGAGGTGATGGTCTCATTCCACATGGCCCCAGTGGTGCTATGCTCAGTGCCACCCTGAAATTTAGGAACGCCCATGATAGACCGGCCTTTTGAAGACTTTCCAGAGAAGGTGAGAGGACGGTGAAGAAACCAGAGGGTCTGAGGATCCTCTGAAGGAACTGAAGGTGAATCGGTGGTGTAGGAAACCACAAGCACTTTCCCCCTCAGGAGCTTCCTGGGTTGAAGGAAGGCACCTGACTGGGCGTGGCTGAGGCGGCTAAGCCCAAAGGCGGGTGTAGTGGGGAGGACAGCCTTCCTGTCATGGCCAAAGACATCTCATTCACATCAGCTCGGCCTCCTGGAAGTGGCGAGCTCCCGGCCCTGGCGCTGGGCTGGGAGAGGCAGAAAAGACATGTGGTGAGGAAGCTAGGGAGGAGATTCTGGGCTAGCCCCATCCCCAGGGCTTAGGAGGCAAAGACTGAGTTTCGGAGCAGGACAAGCGGCTCCAGCTGCCGCCAGTGCCTGTGCCTTCAGTCCCATGACAACGACTGCATTTGCTGGGCTGTGAGTGTGTGCGTGAGTGAAATGTGCCTGGATGGTCTCACATAGGGCGAAGCCATCTAGTACTCCCCTCTCTCTTCTCGTGCCTGCCCCCAGCAGGCTTTCCCAAGGGCACCTGCTGTAGCATCAGTCTGAAGGGAGGGTCCCTGAGTGAAGAGGCCCCAGACTTGGGCACTGAGGCTGCACCCTGGACCTTCCCCAGTGGGGGAAGGGGCTCCAGCCCTGATAAGAATTGCACAGAGGGGCTGGAGAGATAGCACAGCGGGTAGGGCGTTTGCCTTAAACGCGATCGACCTGGGTTCAATTCCCAGCATCCCATATGGTCCCCTGAGCATCCCCAGGAGTGATTCCTGAGTGGAGAGCCAGAAGGAACCCCTGTGCATCACCGGGTGTGACCCAAAGAGCAAAAAAAAAAAAGAAAGAAAGAAAGAAAAGAAAAGAAGTGTGCGGAGCCAAGGGAGTGCAGTCTGGCTGGGGAGGAGGAGAGGAACTGAGCCACATCTCTTCCCAAATGGGCCACCCTTGGCTCGACAAAATATGTCGAGAATTTGCAGATTTCCTGTTTTTTTCACATCCCTGTGTCTGCAGAGCCCACCCGAGCTGAGTTCCACCCCTGAGACCCACCACAGCCGGCTCCACCCTGCAAGGACCTCCAAGGAGCCCCCAGGAGGGCGGCCCCAGCCCCGGAGGCACAGACCCTCGGAAGCCCGGTGGCCTAATAGCCCACGCCACGCACTGCCGCTTGGCAGCTATGAGAAACGCCAGTTAAACCCATGGCGCAGCCCTGATTACACCCTCCTCCCTGAGGGCCTGGGGCGCTGCAGACACCCTGGCAGCCTCGTCCAGGGCTGCCTGCCCCCTGGCGCTGGCCAGGGTAGTCAGCAAGCACAGCAGACAGACAGAGGAAAGACGACTGGACAGCTCTCGGGACCCTGCGACGCGCCCCTCCCGAGTGCGGGCTGTGGGTCTCCTTAGCCAGAGCCATCTGGGATTCACGCGTGGATACATCACTAGCCTCTAGCCTCGGGGTCCTGGGCATTGCTGGGAGGAGGGGGACTTTGTGGGCTTAAGGCCATTGTTCATATTCCCTAAGCAAGAGGTTTCCTGACAGACACACGTGCCACACTAGGCTGGCCTACCAAGGGAGCCCTGGGCCTCAGTTTCCCCTCCTGTAAAGACTCCCAGGCACCTCAGCAGCTCTGGTATTATTTGACAGGGATAGAAAGCAGATTCAGCCCAGGCTGCCCCTTCCCCATCCTCTCTCCCCAGAGAGCAAGCCTTCAAGATGAGCTGCCCGTCGTCTCAAGGGTCTGTCATCTTGGTCCCTCTGGTCACAGTCTCCCTGTGTTAATCAGGACACTGTCACATGAACAAGTCCCTTCTTAGGCCAGAGAGAACTCCTGCCCTGGCCTGAGCTTCTCCCTGCAGAGATCTCCCAAAACCCAGTGGCAGGGGCCTGGCCCTGTCCAGTCTGAGAACACCGGAGAGAGAGACCAGACTTGAGGCGATTGTTAAGAGTGTCCCAACCCCCCTCCCCACTCACCCCTGCCTCCGCCCCAGCCAGTACTGACCTCCACTGAGCCAGGTCCCAGTGGTCTCACAGATGGGATAGGACAGCAAGCAGAGTGCTTGCTTTGCACCCAGTCAGGCCAGGTTCGATCCCCAGCAATCCATATGGTGCCCCGAGCACTGCCAGGAGTGATTCCTGAGTGCAGAGACAGGAGAAACCCCTGAGCATTGCCAGGTGTGGTATCCTCCCCACCCCCC